GTTTTACTTCTATGATCATTTCTAAAGATCAAGCACCTAAGCGTAAGTACACTCGGTATTCATATCAGATCTCTAATTTCACCACTCCATCTACAACCAAGTCATACTCTTATCCATCACCTTATCCTATAGCCTTATATCTTGTCACCAAAATGAATCAACTAATTATGCTTCTCCAATTTCCTTCAACAATCCATTCGTTACTCAAGTCATACTTAGTCTCACACTACTAACGGTAACCTTATAAGCCCAACTTAAGTCTCTAATTTGAGCCAAAAGGATTCATCTCTCTGATCATAAGGGAAGATAAATATAAAGGTTTCCTACACAAAACATCGGTCACCACAATGGCTTTACTTAATTAACAACTAAGTTTGAAATATTAGTCCTCCAGAAATTAAACTCTAGCTCTCTTTTGTCACATAATTAACTCCTTCAGTCAACAGATAATTAAGGCTCTAACGATCAATAAATACCTCAATCTTAGAATCATATAGGCAGTGTCTCTAAGTGTCTCTAAATATTACAACTGCTAACTTAAAATCATGGGTAAAGTAATTCCTCTCATGAGTTTTCAATTGCCTAGAATCACAAGGCCTAGAACACTCACCTCCTACAATCAAAATCATACTTAGATAAATTAGCCTAAAGCTGTCTTGGATAAATCCTCACTCTCAACTCCAATTTGATGATATCACACCTTGAGGTCAACCTTACTAAACACACAAACATCCACTAATATCTCCATATACAAATCATATTAACACTGTGTCAAGGTCACGTTAGCCCTAACCTAGGGTCGTGCTCACCCCTGACATGTTAACCAAGGTCATGATACTCATATAACATACCCGGGCCGTGCTCACCCCTGATATAACACTGTGCCAAGGTCACGTTACCCCTAACCCAGGGTCGTGCTCACCCTTGACATGTTAACCAAGGTCACGATACCCATGTAACAATCCCGGACCGTGCTCACCCCTGGTCATAGGTGTGAAAAACCACAATCACATCTCATTCACATTCCACACAACATCTCATAGTTCAATTCCATACACGCATCAGATAAGTCCAAAATAATGAGTTTCATACATCTCAATTTGGCTAGCTCACAGACACTTTTGTACAATTTCGTTCTCTCTCCCAGATCATCATTCTTACAAATTATTGGCATATTTATAATCCTCATCACATACAGAATCTAATGGGATCATCAATTCCTCAAACAGAAATCATCCAATTTTTCACAACTTAACTTACAAGCACTTTTCTATAATTTCGTTCTCTCTCCCAGAGCATTATTTTTACCAATTAACCATATATCCATTATTGGCATATTTATAATCCTCATCACATACAGAATCTAATGGGATCATCAATTCCTCAAACAGAAATCATCCAATTTTTCACAACTTAACTTACAAGCACTTTTCTATAATTTCGTTCTCTCTCCCAGAGCATTATTTTTACCAATTAACCATATATCCATATTCCTAAATACATACAGAATCAAATAAGACAATGACCAACTCAAGTTTGCTCGGATACACCGACAGTGATTAAGCACGATCGGTATATGACATGAAGAGCACCTCTGGTTATGCCTTCTCACTTGGATCAGGAATATTTTCTTGGGCATCAAAAAAGCAAGCAACAGTTACACAATCAACCGTAGAGGCAGAATATGTTGCAGCGGCTGAAGCTACAAGTCAAGCAATTTGGCTACAAAGAATACTTGTAGAAATTGGAGAACAACAAGATGGGCCTACTACAATTAACTGCGACAATAAATCAACAATCGCAATGACAAAAAATCCAGTACATCATAGCAGGAAAAAACACATTGCAATTAAATATCACTTCATCAGAGAAGCAGAAACAACTAAAGAAATCAAGATGCAGTATTGTAAGACTGAAGAGCAAGTTGCTGACATATTCACAAAGGCACTACCAAGAACAAGATTCGAACAGTTTCGCACTATGATAGGAGTTAAATAAATTTGTATCAAGGAGGAGTGTTAAAATGTGATACAAACTTCTAGAATAAGCTAGATCATTATAGAAAATACATAGATGTATGCTAGTAACTACTAGATGATACAAACTCTAGAATTATGTAGACAATTACATATAGATAGAAAACTCTAGAATAGATATTTCTAGAGTTTTCTACATAAAACATGAATGATGTGTTGAGGCCTATAAATAGGCCATGTACTCAACATTTGTGCCAAACAACTAGTAAGTCATTTCCACTACTCAAATCTATTCCAACTATTCCTCTAAACTAGTTTTCCTCTCAACTAAGCCTATCATTATAAATTTGCCCCCATTCCTTCTACTAATCAAATAAGTTTTTTCTATTTGATAATTCATAAACTAACAAAAACCTATATCTGTAAATGCGCGATGCCTGTCGTCGCAGACACGACATGATGTCGTAACCCGATTCAACTTCTATTTATAATTAATATAAAAGTTGAGTTACTCTAAACCTTAAATCCTAAACCCTAGACTCCCGCAATGTCATCACAAATGCAATCCCGATTCAACTCAGCACAATATATCGCTCATCTCAGATAGGTGAATCATCATCGTATCTGTGAGTAACACTACTTTCCTTGCTTTCTCATAAAAATGCATCTTCTTCATGGTTGAAATAATGTCATCATGTAATTTTTATTTCCTTGGTGTGTTTGAATTTTCATGCTTGCTAGCTGCAAGAGTTATTCCTCTGCTCTATCAAATGGTAATAATCTCTTTTAACATTTTTTTGTTTTTTCATTTGTGTGCGAAAGGGGTCTTTAACATTCAATTTGTTGACGGTTTGAGTTATTTTTGCTTGATCAAGTTATGAGGGTAATTTCAAGAGCTTTTATCCCCATTTCTTAAGGGTTCACGATGGCATTCCCTTTGCTGGTGGAAAATCTTTGACAATCCAATCATCAATGATGAATATTCTTGAACTTTTATCTTATCAAGACTAATTTTCGAGATGAACCTTTATCATCTTATTCTCTTCGTGTCACTAAAGAGGTATTCCCCTCTTCTCTATAAGTTATTATTATTATTTTTGTATTTCCATTATTTCATATTTTGAAAGGGAAAATAAAATATGTAGATTACTGTGAGGGAGACTCTAAACACTGCACTCAATAAGGAAATGTATGTCAATTGATCCAAAGGCCTTCTTGATGAGATAAGAGGTCTCCTATTTTTTTATATATTTTATTCATTCTCTTTTAGTTTTACAAATGATTTATTCTTAAATATTTTCTTAACTTATTATACGGATGAGATAACATATAAGATTCTTGGTGGATGAAACAACCCTACATTCAAGATCTGCACATATCTCTCATGGAATTGGATTGTGGATCGTTGATAGATGGGATAACATTGCAAACTCTGGTGAATAAGACAACACCACATTATGAGATCTCGCACGAAATTGAACTTCAGACTTTGGGGTATATGGAACTGAACTTCACACTTTAGAAGAATCATGGAATTGAATTTTTTCTTTATCTTTAAAAATTTTCTACATTATCTTATGTATATTTTTCTTTGTTTAGAAGAGTTTTAGAATTACATATTGAAACTCTATTTTTAAAATTATAAATATATATTTTTCTTTATATATTATAAATTGAATAAAAAAAATATTTTAAATGTCATTACCTTTCATTTTAATTGTTGGTAGTATTTATTCCTTCACATGTTTCAAAATTTGTAATTTCCCTCTTATTTCTCCATAATTTAAATATATCTATTTGTAATTATGAATAAATTTTCATAACTTTTTTTCTCTTTCGGATTGTGCTATTTAGGTGGTGCGAATATCATAAATTACGATGCATTCACTCCTTGGGGTTCATAGGTTTAGTCATATTTTATTACTGTCTTTCTCTAATATCTATTATATTTTCTTTTCTTTTAAATTTTTCTAAACTTTTTTCACTAAGTAATAAATGTTTGGTGCTAAAGAGAGTAGATGATGAGACATCTCAAAAAGTCATGAGAAAAAATTATAAATAATAAAATGTTAAATTATCAATAAATAAATAAAATTATTTGATTTTCATTATTTAATAAATAAATAAAAATTAATAATCAATAATAATTATTAATTATTGCATTTCATTATTTTCTAAATTAATTGTTTTTAATTAAATATTTATTAAACTTTAATTTTAAAATATCAGTTACTTAAAACAAATTTTAATACAATTATTATGTTTCATTACGACTTAATTGTATAATATATTTTTTTGTTAATTAAATATTTATTACAAACTTTAGTTATTTTTTTTATCATCCACCTTAATATATGATAATGATACATATACTGATATGCATGTCATTAAATTAATTTAAATTAGTTGCTATTTTAGCTGTCAAACAAAAATAAATTAGTTGCTATTTTAAAATAAATTTGAATTTAATAATTAATACAACACCTTAATCATTGGATAAATAAACAATCACTATTTATTTTAATTGTATATTATTATAATATTAGTATCAAAATCAGTATTGCATCATTTAGCAAATCAACAAATGTTAAAAAAAAGTTAATTTTTATTTTTTGCGAATCAAGCATAGAACTTCATGATTCTAATAAGCATAAAACTTAATAATATTTATTGATTTAATTTTCTTATAATTAACAAATCAATCAAATTGAATTCCTTAATTACAAATTAATTATTAATATATAACTATTAATTTTGAAAATTTTAAATTATTAATTACTGATAACAAATTATAGCAACATTATCACATATAAATTAAGATTTCTAAATATTAATTACTCAATTCAAATTTTAATATAATTATTATATGTTTTATTGTGGTGCAATTGTCCGAATTGATTATTTATTAATAAGTTATTTATTATAAAATTTTAATTTGATTATAATCCTCTTAAATGTATAATATACCTTATAAAAATATTAAGAATAATTTTTTTAATTAAACATTATTATTAAATCATTACTATATTAAAATATTAATTAAAATATTTTATATCATTAATATATTAAAATAATATTTTAGAGAGAAGGGTTCTGGGTCCATGAACTTTATTCTCCCCAAAACTTCTCTGTTTTGATTCATTTTCTTCTCTACATTCCTAATCTCTTCTTTCTTCCCTTGAATTCAAGCTTAGGAGCTTGAATTATCATGGTTGAGAACGTTGTGGTGTTGTTTTTGGGTTGGCGAGTTTCTCCCTTCTCCTCCTTCTCGTGGCTATTCTAGGCTTGGATTAAGGTGAAGGAAGCTAGAATGGTTGTAGTTTGATTTTGAGCATGTGATTCTTATGTTCCTGGTTGTTTACAGGGTGGGGGGCAAAATTTTGAAAGATCCAAATTTGGGATTCATGTGTTAAAGGTTCTGGTCGTTTTCATGGTTAGATGCGGAAATGGGATGTTTTGGTCTCATTTGTTGTTACATGTGTTAATTTTGGATATTTTGAAGTTCCCAAAGACTGGTTTCTGTATTAGATGTGGTTGTTTAGTGAAATTGCATGTCTAATTGGTGTTAGAAATTGAAAATGGGCTGGTTTTGTTCAATGATCTATGGGTGTTTTGTTATCATATATATGTAGTGTCAAGTTTGGGTTGCATGTGGGTTTTATTTCAGTTTTTGAGTCTCGTGTTGCATATATGAGTTGTTTTGGTTTAGGATTTTAGCGAGAAGTTGGATATGAATTAATTTGGGGTGGAAAGGAGTGAGTTTGGAAGTGTTTAAGGCATTTTGATGGCCTTGACGATGGTACACTCTTTTGCTTTCTGGTGTAGGGGATGTTTAAGCTGCAATTTTGTCGTGCCCGTAAATGTGCTTTATTGACAAAATTAGATTTTTTGGTCTTCAAAAAAGTTGTACCTTTGGATGTTAGCTTTCCAATGCCACCATAATAATTTAAAATGGAGGTCTAGAACTCCATTTATGATTATTTTAGTGTGTAGAGGTCAATTTGCCAACGCTGATTATATTTGTTGCATTTTCTAATATTTTTAGCTAAGTAGATGATCTTTTCAAAATTTCATGTCTTCATAAGAGTTGTAGCTTATTCTCTTATATTTCTTTTCAGATAGGTTTGAAGTTATTTGGATGAGTATAATTCTCTACGTTTTATTTTCTTTGACAGTTATTGAAGGGAGATACATGTTGTTATGATGTTTTTGAGTTATTATGCAATGTAATGATGAAAATTGATTTTGTTATGATGTTCTAAAGTATTATCATGTGAATTAAAAAGTTGTTTAAAGTTGTATGATACTATGTTGTAAAGTTGGTTCATGTACATGTTATATGATGTAAACAAGTGATTGATTCATATATATGCTTGGGGATGATATATATATATATGAATGTTTAAACATATTCTAACATGATTTGGTATGCATGTATGTTGATATGAGGATGATGATGAATAAGATGGTGAATTGACCATGTATGTGATGTATTGTTGCATATTAAATACAAAAATTATCTTTAGTGATAAAATAATTTACACTTCATTTTAAAATTGTCGCTAAAAATATTTTGACACTTAATTATATCAATGATATAAAAGAGTAAGTTTCGTCACTAAATTTGTCACAATTGCATTCATCTATTTTATAATAAAGTAATATCATTTTCACATAAAAATTCAATCATTATTATATATCTCATGTTTCATTTAAGATATTATTAATTCACTCATATGTAAAGTAAATGTAATTATATCATTTTTTTCTACATTTTTTTACATACAAATTTATATTCTTCTTATTTCAGTACATATTTTACAACTATTTAATTTTATAATTTTATAATTTCATGTAATGATTTTTAAAATGTTTTTAATATTTTAAAATTATATTTTAAAATTATAGTTGGTTTGTGGGATCAATGTTGTTGATCCTTAAAGCAGATGGACATCTAAAAAAAAAGCTACACACAAAGGGTTCTGATTGATGAAGATTTTTGACCAAGAAGCAGTTGTGTGAAGTATGGTTGAGTAGATCCACTAAGACGTCAAATCTGAGGGATGTTATAAATGGTATGAAAGCTGGTCCTCTCTCCTATTACGGTGTGGGTCAGAGAAGAGTCAAGTGAAAGTTGATAGGCTTGTAATAGTTCAAACACATCAAAATGAGAGGGATTCATAAGTTGTACACATGTGAGACTGTGCAATTGATGATAGTTTAAAGGAATTAATTTTTATTACCTATACCAACAAGATGCATATACTTTTCGGTAGCTCATCACCTCAGTTAAGTGTGTTTGACTTGAAGCAATTTAGGAATGAATGACTTTCTGGAAAATTTTCCAAAATGTGTGTAAGTAAGAATAAAACATGCTAAAATATTTTTTTGTTAGTATAATTTAATTATATATTAATTTATGTTGTTCAACTAATTTATAATTTGGTTGCTCAATCAATATACATTGACTATATATATTTAGGTGGCTTAAAAATATGGCAAATATTTTTTTAAAAAAATTAATAGTGATTGAAGCATACAATTCAATTAATTATGATCCACTAATTTAACTTGAGATCCATTAATTTAATACCTAACTGATTTTATAATGGGTCCAATTTTCGAAATATCAACAATAAGATAAGATTTTATAAGAACCAACTAAAAAATACATTGATCATATTTTTTATAAAGAATAAAAGCATAAAATAAAATAAGTATATTATAAAAACAAAATATATTTACTCGTTTGTTTTCCATAATTACCTATTTGACAGAGAAGACCCGATAATGAAGAGCAACCAGGGCCCCCTGACAACCAAAGCATAAGAGGGTCTTTTTGAGAATCGTTCTCTGACTTGAGAAAGTAATAAAAGACTTGCATGTCATCATCTCTTTCTCCCAATCCCACATAACTGTCAAAAAATGCACACAACACAACACAACCAAAGTGTCCAAAGTGTGAAGAGTAAAAGCCCTTTAAGTTGAGTAAATTAAAATTCAAGATCTTGAAACTAAATCAGGGAAGTGGTGTTGCTTACCCAGTTTCCAGTTCGAAAGGAAGAGGTCCTTCAAAGCCGGGAAGCACTTCCACCTTTGAGCGAGAAGTTCCGAGCTGCACGAAAATTGCTAGAACAAGTAGAAGAATAATGAGAAAATGGCAACACAGATTAGAACTCATGCTGAAGTTTCTTCTCGTGCTTAGAAGTGGCAAATGCGACCTTGTACAAAATAATGTGATTGGTTTTGAGAGAGAAATATGGATCACTTTAATTATTGACAAAGCAATAAGGGAGGGAAACTAGGACGGACCACACTAGAAATTTCAACCACCCTGTACGCAGAGGAAACAGACGTGTGTTTAAAATTTCAACCACCCTGTACGCAGACGAAACAGACGTGTGTTTAAAATTTCAACCACCCTGTACGCAGACGAAACAGACGTGTGTTTAAAATTTCAACCACCCTGTACGCAGACGAAACAGACGTGTGTTTGTGGTCCTTTAACATATATTTAACGAATTATTTTACCATGCAAAGCATAGATTATCCATAACGGTAAAGAACATATTTGATGACCAACACCTCAAATGAAGATAAAATCATTATGTTTGAATCAAGACACACACTTGAAGCCTTACGAAGGATTCAATGGAAACGAGTAGATATATTATATGAGTATTTTATGTAATTTTGTTTAAAAGTTCTGTTATTATGTAAGACCGAATATAATCTATTAAAAGGAAAAAAATAATTCTTCACTTAGTAATTTTTGAAAATGGTAACTTAGGTTCACATTAAAGGTTTCATTGTGGTGCCTAGGGGTAAGAAATTAAAGGAGAACGAGAACCAAATTAATAAGTGAATCACACTCTAGACATATTGTGATTGTCGTTTGAGGTAAGATTAGGAGAGAAATTTTCTCTTCATGTAACATGTACGTATAATGATTATTTGGGTATTGAGACAATCTTTTAAGTCTCTTTAAGATTTTTGTTAGATTTGTAATGTATGATGATGTAACAAGTGCAGTAAGGATTGAAGAGTCAATTGAAGATACAGCTCAGCAAGGACACCTGGCAGCAGATTCCAATAATCAAGGAGTGAGGAGGGACACAAGAAGCAGAATAACTAACTCTAGGCTGCAGCATTTTGATTGGTCTAGGGTCTAGTATATATATTATGTTTGTTAAGGAGAGAGAAAGGAAGGATTGATTCTGTTTTCTTCTCTCTGCAGCATGACTCCGTTTAAGATTGTCTATGGCAGAGATCCTCCTACATTGGTTAAATACATGCTTAATCAGAGTGATCCTACTTCAGTTCAAGAACAATTACTACAAAGGGACTTGACACCTAGCAAATTGAAATGTAACCTCCACATAGGCTCAACAGTACATGAAGAAACATGCTGATAAGAAAAGGAAGTCAATGGAATTGCAAATTGTGACATGGTTTTTGTCAAATTAAAACCCTATAGACAACATTTTGTTGCTCTCAGGAAAAATCAAAAGTTGATTATGAGGTTCTTTTGTCCCTTTCCTGTTATTCAAAGAATTGGACAGGTTTCTTATAAACTGTTGTTACCCCCAACAACTAGAATTCATCCAATGTTCCACTATTCTCAATTGAAACCGTGTAAAGGGGATCATTCTAAACCATATGTGCCACTACCAATCAATAATACTGATCTGCAACTTGTCAGCCTGTTTCTATTTTACAATCTTAGGTCATATTGAGGGCAACAACAAATTCCATAATATCTGGTTTAGTGGGAAGGATTAGATGCAACTAATGCAACTTGGGAGGATCATCTCACTCTGCAACAAGCTTTTCCTAATCTCAACCTTGAGGACAAGGTTGGTCTTAATGGGGGAGGAATTGTAACAAGTGCAGCACGGACAGAAGAGTCAATTGAATATATAGCTCAGCAAGGACACCTGGTAGCAAATTCCAATAATCAAGGAGTGAGGAGGGGCACAAGAAGCAAAATAACTAACTCTAGGCTATAGGATTTTGATTGGTCTAGGGTCTAGTATATATATTTTGTTTGTTAAGGAGAGAGAAAGTGTAACACCCCAGTTTTTATTTCATTTTATTTTATTTTTATTGAGAGTATCTTGGTAATTTTATAAATGTAGAGGGGTGATTTAGTAGCTTGGAATGGGCTATTCTGGAATTGGAACGGTTCGTTCCAAACTACCAAAATGAATGTGAGTTAGTAGCCCAGAACGGGCCGTTCTCAAGTTGGAACGGGCCGTTCCGGACTATTAAAACTGCCTATAATCCTAAATGAGAACGGGCTCGGAATGGGCTATTTCCAAAATATGGTCGTTGTAAGTAATAAATGCACACCAAAACGGGCCGTTCTGGTTTGAGAACGGGTCGTTCTGGATGTAATTTTTACCCACGATTTAAGGGTCCAGAACGGGCGCGTTCCGGATTTGGAACGGGCCGTTCTGGCGAAGGCTGATGCCTATAAATTAAGCTCTTTGCCACTCCCAAAAGGCACACCTCTCATTTTCTGATTTCTTTTCTTCTTTTTTCTCTTCTCTTCTTCTGCACTCTCTGAAGACCGAGGGGAACCCAGCGGAGGAGATCAACCAGATCCTTAGTTTCAGCTACTATTTATCCAGGTACGGGAGAAAAGAGAATTATTTATATGTAGAGTTACATGACGAATTAAAATGGTACTGAAAAACTTGCTTGAATGTTTTTGAGTTTTGAAAATTTGACCCTACTATCAAAATTAAACCCTACTCCAGAATTTTCTTTGGCCTGTAGTAAAAGCATAAACAGAGAAATTGATTACAAACTTGGAGATTTATGTGTGGTTGGAGACCGATTTCATTTTCTGTTAATCAAGGAAATTGAGAAATAATAGTTGGCTTTATTATAATTATGTGCATGGTAAGCTTTTTATATGCGAATTATATGTAAAATGATCTAGTTTATATGCTTCAATTATAGAAACCAAGCAAAAATATGTCTTTAACTTGGTAAACTACTTAATGCTTTTTTATAGATAATACAGTGCATTTTAGTGTATGCCAAAAGAAATCAAATTTTCAATAAAATTGAGGACAAAGTTTAACAATTAAAATACTTACATATAGCTTGGTATTATACATTTAAAATCTAAGATAATTGTTTAAAAATAATTAATTATAGGCTTAATTGTATTTTTGATCCCTCAAGTATTGTAATTTCTTCTAAAATATAAAACTACTATTTATGTTAAATAAACTAATATATGCACTAATTATTTAATAGAAAACTCATGAAACACACAAATATGAAAATATTCACACTTGAACTTGCTTACTATAATTTTAAAGACAATATACTAACATCTCTAAGTAGTTTATAAATATTTAAAAATAAATATTATTTATTTAAAATAATTGTTAAGATCGAAAATATTAATTTTAGAAGGTTTAAATATATTTTAGTCCCTATAAGATGGGTGATTTTGATTTTGATCTTTGTAAATTTTTTTCTTTATTTTTCATCCTTGTAAGATTTATAAAGATTGTTTCCTACTTGTAAAATGAGTAAAATATTTTTCTTTGGTTTTCATCCCTCTAAAATATAAATTCACTAGTTTGATTATTTTAAGGTAGATAAATAATATTTATTTTAAAAAACTAAAAAAAATTAGAGGTGTTAAATATCAATACGATAATAGTACGTAATTGTTGTAGTTGACACCTAAGATAATTATTTATCTTTTTTTAAAAAAAAATAAAAAGTAGTTAAAAATGATTACATAAAAAATAAGAATTAAAAATAAAAATTCCAATTTTAGAAAATGAAAATAAGAATTAAAAATAATAAAAATAAGAAATTAAAAATTAAAAATTAAAAATAAGAAATTTTTGACGGAATATTTCATCAAAAATTTCTGACGGATTTATTTTTCCTTCAAAAGTTTCTGAAGAAATTTTCCGTTGGAAATTTCTGATGAAAACTTTTCTAACGGATCCATATCTGTCGAAAATTTACGTTTTTCTTGTAGTGATTGAACAAGTGTTTGGAAATGTACTTGCGATGTTTCACTTATGACTCTCCTAAAGATTGGGCAAGGTTTTTGCCTTGGGCAGAGTATTGGTATAACACTTCATATCATCATAGTAGTGGCATGACTCCGTTTAAGATTGTCTATGGCAGAGATCCTCCTACATTGGTTAAATACATGCTTAATCAGAGTGATCCTACTTCAGTTCAAGAACAATTACTACAAAGGGACTTGACACCTAGCAAATTGAAATGTAACCTCCACATAGGCTCAACAGTACATGAAGAAACATGCTGATAAGAAAAGGAAGTCAATGGAATTGCAAATTGTGACATGGTTTTTGTCAAATTAAAACCCTATAGACAACATTTTGTTGCTCTCAGGAAAAATCAAAAGTTGATTATGAGGTTCTTTTGTCCCTTTCCTGTTATTCAAAGAATTGGACAGGTTTCTTATAAACTGTTGTTACCCCCAACAACTAGAATTCATCCAATGTTCCACTATTCTCAATTGAAACCGTGTAAAGGGGATCATTCTAAACCATATGTGCCACTACCAATCAATAATACTGATCTGCAACTTGTCAGCCTGTTTCTATTTTACAATCTTAGGTCATATTGAGGGCAACAACAAATTCCATAATATCTGGTTTAGTGGGAAGGATTATTCTTCTAAAATATAAAACTACTATTTATGTTAAATAAACTAATATATGCACTAATTATTTAATAGAAAACTCATGAAACACACAAATATGAAAATATTCACACTTGAACTTGCTTACTATAATTTTAAAGACAATATACTAACATCTCTAAGTAGTTTATAAATATTTAAAAATAAATATTATTTATTTAAAATAATTGTTAAGATCGAAAATATTAATTTTAGAAGGTTTAAATATATTTTAGTCCCTATAAGATGGGTGATTTTGATTTTGATCTTTGTAAATTTTTTTCTTTATTTTTCATCCTTGTAAGATTTATAAAGATTGTTTCCTACTTGTAAAATGAGTAAAATATTTTTCTTTGGTTTTCATCCCTCTAAAATATAAATTCACTAGTTTGATTATTTTAAGGTAGATAAATAATATTTATTTTAAAAAACTAAAAAAAATTAGAGGTGTTAAATATCAATACGATAATAGTACGTAATTGTTGTAGTTGACACCTAAGATAATTATTTATCTTTTTTTAAAAAAAAATAAAAAGTAGTTAAAAATGATTACATAAAAAATAAGAATTAAAAATAAAAATTCCAATTTTAGAAAATGAA